CGGCCCATCCATCCCCTCAACACCCGTCTGGAAGGCCGTGCACGAAAGGCCTAAAGTCCGTACGTACGGCCCGTACCGGGGGTCGGGGCCAGTACGTACGATCGTACGGGAGTACGTACGGCCCGTATTCGTACGGCCGTATACACTGCCTGCTAGGTGATAATGGTTACCCACAAATGGATAGTTGTTCCCTATGGCTGCAGCCACTGCACTACTCGTCACCCGTTGGAGACGCGGTTCGACAACAAGCAGAAGACCGCAAGGGGGGCAGTTGAGAGCGCCTTCAGCAGACTGAAGGGGATGTGGAGACGGTTCCTTCGTCGCACAAGACGAACATGGAGACGTTGCCACAACAGTTTGTCGCTGTGTGCATTCTCCACAATGTACTCATCGACGAGGGCATCCCGATTGATGACAATCTATTGTGGGAGGTGGATGAGAACGGATTGCGCCATCGTATGGATCTCAGAATCCAGCGTTATTTGAGGCAAGTGTGCATGGAGAGCTCGACGGGAAATGCGCTAATTCTAGGGGACGCACTGGCGGAGAGAATAAGTGGCCTCTGACGATGATCGACCGGGGAGTGATTGTGACGACAGACCCGGAGACGAAGGTTGTTCACCATGTCTGTTTTGAAGCGTCGCCTATTTATCTTGTCGGATCGGTGTGGTGGATGTTTGTCATTAGATGTCCTCATTCGTGTTCTTAATCGCATCATCATCTGGGTAGTGTGGCGCCTCTTGGTAGCGGACATGCAGTCTTGTGTGGGCGTCGTAGGACGCCAGGAGCCACACACGTGCCATGGGCAGCAGTTTCTGGTTCGCAATCGTTGCAGCCATGAGTCGTCGGTTGGTTACTTTTTTCGGTCGTAATGGTTTTTTTCTCAGTAGTCCATACCGCGCATGGCATTCAACCCCTCTATTGACAATTATGTTTTTTTAAGACATCTGATTCATAAACTTGTGTTGCACATGACAGTCTGCTGGTGCTTTCTACCATGTGCCATGGTGTGGTTTGTACTCTCCAAACACGTTACCCGAATTGTTATTTGATGGTGTTTAATGCTCATTTTTTTCCTTCTTATTTTGTGTTGTGGTTTAACACGTTATGACATTGGGTTCATTCGACACTCCTCGAGGATTCCTCGGGCTCCGAGGATTTGTTCGTTCCACTTATCCTCGGGGTTGCAGTCGGGAAAAAAAAGTGAAAACACTCCGAAGGAAATTCCTCGGGCTCCGAGGATTCCTCAACCATTTCTCCTTTTTCCCCAAGGGACCTCACAAGGTCCCTTGGGCAAAAGGAATCCACGTTTCACGGAGAGGAGTGGGCACACGCGTAGAGAGACGTTACAACCGAGAATCTGGATCGTGGCGACACCCTATTGGCTGAAGGTCTTTAGCACTTTTTTTTTTTTTTTTTTTTCCTTTTTTYTTTTCTGACATCGCTCCAAGGAAACTTCCTCGGGTGACGTCCCCGAGGACAGGTGGAACGAAGAGCCCAAAGTTCCTTTTGACTAAAAGGATTTTCCCCTCGGGCTCCGAGGACGCCCCAAGGAGTGTCGAACGAGCCCCATTGTGTTGGGCATCGATGTGATTCCCAAGCGTGCATGTGCGCCTTCTTGTTTGCGTTTGTGTGCCTATCTTATCGAAAAGTTTCCTGTGCGATTTAGTGATGCGTCTGCCAGTGATTTCACATCTATTGTCGCGTGTGTGTGGATGGTGTGATGGGAACGACATCTACCACAACAAAAAAATTCCCATGAGAAATGAAAGTTGAAAAAATATTCCATAAAAACAAGATCCTTCATATTTATAAATTATCATTCCAATGCTTGTCCAATTCTAAAATTTCCAATTTAATTTGATAAGTTTCCGTCTTAATATGAGTTTTTCCTTCCAACTACATCTATTTGTTCAAGATGGAATGAAAGTCTGGACGAGCTTATGAAATGTTTTAATTAGATTTTCATTCTACTACAACAAATAAAGTCTAATTTAGATTGGATTAACCTATTTATGTCTGGAAATCCTTACTTAGAATGACATTCCAATTAAAATATTTCATGAACTCATCCAGACTTTCATTCCATCTCTAGTATGCAGTTCAAATAAGAAGGGATACCCCATTCTTGAAAGGAAAGTTTTTAAGTAAGACGAAAATTTTTTAAATTGGAATGATATTTTTTAAGATGGAATGAAAATTTGAAATTTAGAATGTAATTTTACTCTAGAATGATTATTTAATTCAGGGAAATTTTTCTGTTGCAAAAAGAAGGAGTTCAATGGCCAATGCATGTGACCTTTGTATTGTTGACAATTGAATAGCGACGTCCGTTTCTCCAACATACTACAAACATAGCTGATCCTTCACGATAAATAAAGCCCTGAATCTAACGAACGCATGGCATACGAACGCGACGAGTTATTGGAATGCACAACCAGTGCCGTCACCGTGAACGTGACCGACACCGGTCACTTGAACATGAACGGCCGATCATTTGGCCCAGCGCCTGCCACGGTGAACGGGTAGATCACGAAAGAGTTTTTTTTTTTTTTTTTTTTTTTTTTTTTT